TTATTTTTTCAATGAAGGCCAGAGATGAAGACACATACTTTCAGTTTTGCTTCGTTCGAATCGTAAACCTCAAAACAGTCTCTTGCTTTATTGGCTATGATGGGAATTACTAAGATATTATAACATTCCATACGCACATAACAGGCCTTTCCCCTGTGTGTCATTTGCATACATACAATTGTTTGTCTTTATTTGAGCACAGAGTACGTTACATTGACCATTGTTTATAGGAAATACATGTTAATACAAATAAAATAGGTATGAAACACCACATTTCAACATCCATGGAGTTAGGTGGAACATTGAACGCAAAATCCATTTCTAAAAGAAAATCTAAAACTGAACATTTGAGAGCAGCTTTTTATTGTGGACAACCAAAGACACATGGCCGATTTATTTCCTCTCCGTGTCCAAGTCTCATCTAAGCAGAGACCTTCAGACTACCCTCTCCACACACACTTTCCCAGGCCAGTTCTTCCTCCTGGGATTCGACATGCCTTGAACACCCCCCAGACAGCCATCCAAAACAATATTCTCTATACCTCCACAACTGGCTCCTGCAGAGACTCTACTCCAAGCTCCTCCTGGGTGACTGGTTTGGGTTTTAGTAAACTCGTGGGTATTTGTCTTGCAGTTCGAAAGAGCTTGTCCCATACACACTGTTTAACAGTATATGTTTTATGCATCAGAAAAATAAATAAAAATATAGTGTCAAATACTTCACAACAGCCTTTTCATGAAGACATATGATTTAACATTTAAAAAGTCATCATCCATTAATATGGACAACTTAGTTCCTAATTTGACAAACTAATTGGTATTATACTCTTATGCTTGTTTTTTGCTCTATGCCACAAATATTAGAAACTATAGGCACAGGCAGCGTCAATCACAACTCACAACTGAGTTGTCTGTGTTTGTCTCACAACTGTTGAGACAAACACAATTATTATTGAGAGAACAACCATGAATATTATTCATTTTTAAAAAAAGAGGAAAATAAGACTGCTCAAATCAAATATCACATTTATTATGCACATTAACTGAAGTGCAAAAACTTAGAGGGTATAGAGGAAAAATGTTATACCGGAACATTCAGTTCACAGACATAATTATTCTCTGAAGGCGACCTCTCACGTGAATGGTTAACTCCGTGTCATAGCCTATATTATTCAAATACAATAGAGAAACAAAAATCAGACATAATAGAGTAACATTAAGCTCAGAATACTCTAATGGAGCCTCGTGTAAAGTCATTTTTTTCATTTGAACTTGCTGTTGAACGAATGCACGAAAAAATCAGTAAGCACGCAACAAGCGCCTCCTTGTGGATACGATACGCAAATTTAAATTAACAGAAACCCCAGAGTAAACATATAAGTGAAACAAATAGCTATTCAATCAAATATTGTATCAAATACTTTTCTCTACTGAATTGATTGAAATGCTTAATATTGCGGTTCTGAACAGAATCCACTTTTTCTCCCACCTCTTTCTATCCATACTATATATAAGGACAGAACATTTCCATTTCACTGCGACTACCATGTTTTTTGCAACAAGAGTGTTATTCTGAGCCATATCAGCCTTTCACCACGGGGAAGCCAGAAATTGATCAAAATTAAAGGGCCAAAATGGTGGGGGTGTGCCACTATCCCCTCAGTTGGTATGGCATTGGCCTTTGGGCGTGAAGGTCATGGGTTTGAACCCCCCACGAGACCTACTCAAACTGCTCCCACTGATGTCTGCTGTCGTTGTACCCTTGGGTAAGACACTTAACCAAAGCCCCCGCTGAAAGACCAAGGCTGTGACACTGACGGAGCAGCATGTGGACCCACCACCTGCAGGAGGATCAGCGAGGGACTGGTGCTATAGGAGCATTGGGATGCAGCTGTCATTGCCACCCCCCGACCCAGAAATGGACTAATAAAGGGGAAGAAAATTAAAGAAAGAACAGTGCAATGTACCCATGGGACCAGAGGGATATATATATATATAACAATATAATGGAAGACAGCATGTATAACATCCACGTGAAGCAATATGAACATTTTCAACCATATTTGTTTTACAAGGACAAATTTATAAAGGAAAGAGCAGCGCAGATAACAGCAACTCTGACAGTAAGAGACAAGCAACATCCGAAGAGCCGTCTGCACCAGGATCCAACACAAAACCTAGAAAAAACATGAATACGCTTTTTAGGCTGTTTATATTATTATTCATTTAGGCTCCAGGAAGCTTTCTGTACTTATAAAAGCCTTCCGTAGGTCACATCGACCCGATTGAGTATCTGCTACGATTGTGTATCCGCATTGTGTTCTTTCGATGTCTCAAGATATGACACGTATGTCTTTCGATGTGTGGTGTAGGTGTGACATAACTTTGACTCTAAATATATCCTGACTTTGTTCTGTCTGAAAAAACCTGGGGGGAAAAAACTGAAAGAAACTGAGAATAATCTTCCAAATGGCTCTGGTGCGTAAAGTCTCTGTGAGGTTGATTTTCCACACTTGCCTTGTTTTAGCTTTTGAAGTTGTCACGGCAAATTTGTAAAACAATTTGTCATTTTGAGCCTTAATAGTTCACACACGCCTGTTGTTATTGATAAGTTCCAAGTGCAGATTGTAGAGTGCAAGTTAAACCGAGCTCTTCAGATAATTAATGACTCTACTGGCAACCCTGGAACAGCCATGTTCAAGCTTCTTTACTCTGGCAGAAGATATTGTACGTTGAAATGCAGGACAAATGCTTTGCTAACAGTTTTTCGCATTTGTTTTGAAAATGTTCTTGTTGATCAATTCCACAGTATCAATTGTTTCCTGCACTTTTTAAAAATGTTTATCTACTTGTTTTGTGCACACTTAGGACCTTTGCAAATGTATTCCAATGTGGTTTTACGGCAAATAAATTTAATCTGAATCGATTGAATTATTGGCTGCATCCAAATTTGTTTAAATATTCCCTTTCATTTCCTTTTGGTTTGTCAAGTCATGGTCTTCCCCTTCCATCTCTGGGTTGGAGGGGGGGGGGGGGTGACAATCAGAGCTGCAACCCAACTCTCTTAGCACCAGTCCATCGCTGATCCTCCTGCAGGGGGTGGGTATATGATGGCTTCTCCGTCAGCGAAGACATGGCTTTGGTCTTTCAGGGGGGGCTTCAGGCAATGTGGGTTTAAGTGTCTTACCCGGGGACACAACGAGAGCAGACATCAGTGGGAGCAGGTGACATAGGCCGTGGTGGGATTAAACCCATGACCATTAGGTCCAAACACCAGTGCTCTACCAACTGAGCTACTATCGCCCTTTTGGTTTGATTAAGTATAATTCAATACATTTTTACGACTTAAATTGTCGACGAGTTGTCTTTTCATCAGTTCCATCTGTGTCCACACGAGCGCGCCAAATTCAATGGAAACAATAAACTTTTGGAAATTAAAGCTAAGTTTTACGTGTGTCCACAATATATTTTATTTATGCCCTGTACAAGAAGGGCCAAAGTCGCCTCCACCTTCTGAGGAGGCTGCGGTCCTTCGGAGTGAGCAGGCCTCTGCTCAGACTTTTTATGACTCTGTGGGAGCCTCTGCCATTGCGCTGCCGTGTGCTGGGCCCCGGGCAGCACAGAGCGGGACAGGAGTAGAGTCAACAAGCTGGTCAGGACTCAGGAGGGCCAGCTCTGCTCTGGGCTGCTCCCTGGACTCTGTGGAGGAGGTGAGGGACAGGAGGGTGCTAGTCAAAGTCACCTCCACCCACTGCACAGGACTGTAGAGGAGCTGAGGAGCTCTCTCAGTGGAATGAGACACCCTCAGTGCAAAAAGGAGCACTACCGCAGGGCCTTTATCTTCACCGCTGTCAGTCATCTTATCTTATTTTATCTTGTCTTATTTATATCCCCTATACATTATTAATGCTTTTTTGCTTAATTATTTGTGCTAATAATAAGCATACAATAAAACCTACAAAAATCAAAATGTTGAATATTATGAGAGCATTTTATAGTGATAATTTCAGATGTTACAATCTCTTATGAAGACTTTTTGTACAACTATATTTAAAGGGATCTTGATATTACACCAGTCAGAAGTCAGTGATTTTCCACTTTAAGATTTGGTTATCTGAAGGTCAAACAAACGTATCTATTGGCCTTTATCCCCACTGCTGTCAGACTGTACAATGAGTCACTTTAAGTCATTTGCACTCGGACTGAAAAAACAAAAAACCCTGCACTACTATTGCCACTGTTTCTTAATTGCCACTTTGATTGTATATAATATATCCTGCATTTAATATGTTTGCACAATTCCTTCTTTGCACATTTTTTTTTCTTCTTGAGTGATTGCCAGATGTGACATGTAAATTTCTCCTGTGTGAAATCAAGTCAATCTGATCTTATCTTAGTTGGCACCTGTTAATATACTAGTATATTTATAACCACCATAGAACTCTTACAGTTATAATGTCTCGCAGTGTAATTAAAAGAAAATTTTATTTTTATTCCATACTTAAACCATTTCAAATTCTCACATTACAATGTAAATAAGATCACGTTGCATATTTCAGTAGATCAAAATTACCAAGTAAACACTAAAAAGAAATGTGCATATCTGCATATTTTTCCAAAATGCTCAAACCTTTATGCCCAAATTTGGAAATTGATAAACTTTTTTTATAAATGTTGAAGTTTCTATTTGCTACACTGAAGTTAAGAAGTGTTATTCGTGTTAAAGCTGGGGGACCTATATTTCAATCCACAAACATAAATCTCACTATCAAAACAGATCACTTCACTAATTTTCACACGCATGTATTTTCTCACATCTGTCAAATCTTTAAATCAGCTTTCCCAGACAGAAAAGTGAGAGGGGAGGACCACCGACACTCAGCTCAACAGGCTCTTCTTTCCCCGCTGATTCTGCCGAGCCCGTTCCCTTGGCTGTGGTTTCGCAAGGGGGTATATAAGGACAGTGGGAATCTCGTTCATCCATTCATGCGCGTCACTAATTAGATGACGAGGCAGGCTACCTGAAGAGAGACAGTCATAGTTACTTCGTCGTTTACACGCGCCTCATTGAATGTCTTCACTTTGACATTCAGAGCACTGGGCAGAAATTCTCAGTCCAAAGAGTAAAATAGTGACTCACAGGGCTCTTTTTTACACAAAAGATAGCATATCTTCTAATCAGATGGAGACAGCATGTTGTACACGTTGATTTTGCCTTGAAAAGTTGAGACAAACAAATCCATTCTATTCATGTAGAAAACTGTGATAGGGTTAGGGTTAAAAAAAACAAAACAAATAACGACACACTCATTGTATTCAGCATCAACACTTTTATTGAGCCTGTTCCAGCTTTGTAAAACCTGGTATTAGAATTTTTTACATTATTTTCACATGGACCCAAAGTCTTTTGAATGTGGAAGTGTGAAAGAAAAAAATAACTGATCTAAAATGTACAAAGGTTTTTGGTTTTTTTACAGAAGCAATTTAGAAGGAAGCAAGTATAAAGGGGACATATTATACAAACTAACTTTAAGAACATCTAGTTATAATTAAGGGCAAATGTCAGTTTTTATATGAAATGCTTAGAAATTAATGGGAAGTCAATCTATGTATGTTTTAAATAGATTGTAGATGCAATGCACTCATCTCTTTGTGTGAAAATTGTACCAAAAAGCACCATGTCACCTTGAATGTTTGGTTGGCAATAACCAGTGACATTTGACAAAGGAAATACTAGTTAAATATTAGTACAGATTATTTTTAAACATGACAACATGCACAAACTGAAATGAAAAAAAAAAGTCATTTAGACAATACTTTTCCCAAAACAGTCAATAGATGAGAACTTGATAAAATAAAAATGCGAATAATAATCAAAATCTTTTTTTGGCCATTTTTAAATGTTTATAATGTTACTTTTGAATGATGACATCACAGAGGTATGTAATAAATACATTTGGTCAAAATAAATGATAAGAACATACTTTGGGTAAATCCTCAATTAAAATCATATTTTCTTTAACAAAATTATGCCCAAGACAGTAATAGATGGACAATGCCAGCCCGCTAACTCAATGAGGTGCTCATGGATGAGGTTTTGCAGCTACTCGCTCTGGTTCCTATAGACATGCATTGAAAAATAAGCGAGCTTATGTTCAAATCTGCTTCTTGTGAAAACACTGTGTGACAACAACACTCGGTCAGTCCACTCCTAATATATAGTCTGTAGATGAATTATATCTCCCACTTGTGATGTCAGTTATAGAATGCGAATTTACTACCTGAAACAATTCAAATGAACATCTTTCTGCAGTTTCACCAGTTTAAAACTATAAAGGATTTCGAATTAATACAGGCGTCCTGTCACCATAAAAAGACAAAGAAATTCAATTTATTTTCCTACAGACATAATATGGGATGCAACCGGGGACAAAGGCAAGAACACAATGTGGATTATTGCCAACCAAAAGCAAAACCCAGTAACAAAAGAAAGATGCGGTCGGATGTGTTCACCAATTGTGTTAGTTGGGACTAACACAATTATACATATTAAAAACATACCCCAGCTTTAGACAGTATGGGATTTTTGTATCAGTCAGGAGAATTATTTGGGATTATTTTACCTTCATATAATCATATTTTGAAGCACCAAATCAAACTTGTTCTTAGTGTCACCTTTCCACCATTCATATATTAACTCCAATGATCCTTGTACAGCAAATATGGGGAACGTTTTCTGTTTTAAACAATCCCTCAAAATAATTCCACATACCTTTCCTCATTTAACATCTTCTGTATTGTTTGAACTGTAATTTCTGAGGTCCAAATCAGCCCTAGAATTGCTACAAACTTTCTCATGCACCAGGTCCGTTAGAGTCTTTTCGTTCAAACTGGCGAGAAGCGGATCCGCGCTGGGGGTGGCTCTGCTCGCACTCATCTCCAACGGCGCCCGATGTCCCAGTGAAGGTGAGGATTCACAAAATGTCTGGTTTTGATTTGAATTGCAGCTTGTCAAAGTGTGTTCCGGATCTCGCAAAGCCAACAGTGAGCTGGCAATTTCGTGCGTGTCCAAATTGTGCATAGTTAGCAGTTTGTCGTCTGTTTCTGTCCTGTTTGAGTCTAGACGCCATGGTTTTTCCAAAGTGTTGGTGGAAATGTCCGGAATATTTATGTCATTTCTTGACTTTTCCACAACGGAGAACACATTCACAGGAACATTAGAGTCAAAAACGTGAGCGTTTTCCTGGATATTTCTGTCAATTCTTGGGATTTTTGAATTAGAGAACACATTTGCGGGTTCCTTTGGGTCAAAGATTTGAGCGTTTTCTGAAGACGAGAAAGTATTCAAGGGGAATTTGGTCCTGGGATCTGTTAGCTGCTGAAATGGTGGTAGAGTTGGAAAAAACGACAATGGAAAGTTGTGATTTTTAGCTTTTTCAGGGAAAACTGAAGGATTGCAAGGATTGCCTTGCGCCAGACTGTGATTGGACGTTGAAGGAACATCGGATTTCGTTGCTATTCCGTCCAAAACACTTAAAATGCTGTCCAGAAGTTTCTTATCTGCGTCGTCAGTACTTGATTTGTGTGGAATGTTGCCCTCTCCTTGAAAAACGCTCAGACTTTTAGATGACGTTGCGTTATCTGCTAATAGTTTTTCATTCATCTTTCCCAAGCCTGATTTCGAAATGTTCCTCATTTCAACCTTCACAACGTTTAAATCCATGTTGATGTCACTGCTGTCCATCGTGTCGCTGCTGTTCTCCAGAGAAATCCGCTCAGATGCTTTATTTCTAAGGGGTTCGATGTCCGACTTTTCCAAACCGCGGTCCAAAATATCCGCGGGAAGTTCGCCAATGTCTCTTCCAGCCAAGGTCCCGCCCACGGCAGGAGAATGGACTAATGGGAGGGGGGGGAAATGGCAGAAGTCCACGGTTTGTTGGGAGCCGAAGGGGGAGCTGCATGCGGTGCTGCTTTGGTCCAGGAGAGGGCCTCGGTCACTGTCACTGTCCAATGTGATCACCACTGGGGAACTAGGGAAAAGGAGAAGTTAGTTAGTCAGTTTCTTTAACAAGGACAAAAATACTACAAAAATGTAGGTCAGTTTTGTCAGGGCTATAAAAAAGTAATTTTTAATGGCCCTGTTCGTGGAAAAGCTCTCCCAGCTCAACGTGCCCGATTCCACCTGCAGGTGGATCACTGACTTCCTGACGGACTGGAAGCAGAGAGTGCGTCTGGGGAAGAATGTCTCGGACTCTCGGATTATAAATACAGGAGCCCCACAGGGCTGTGTTCTTTCTCCCCTGCTCTTCTCCCTGTACACCAACCACTGCACCTCCAGCCACGACTCCGTGAAGCTGATCAAGTTTGCGGACGACACCATCCTCATTGGACTCATCTCCAACAATGATGAGTCCGCCTACAGGAGGGAGGTGGACCGGCTGGTGTCCTGGTGCAGTGGTAACAACCTGGAGCTGAATGGCCAGAAGACAGTGGAGATGATTGTGGACTTCAGGAAAAGTACAGTTCCCTCGCCCCCACCCTCCCTGAGGGACTCCATCACCTCTGTGGAGTCCTTCCGTTTCCTGGGCACCACCATCACCCAGGACCTCAAGTGGGAGCCGACCATCAGCTCCCTCATCAATAAGGCCCAGCAGAGGATGTACTTCCTGCGGCAGCTCAGGAAAACCAAGCTGCCTGCACAGATGTTGGTGCAGTTCTACACGGCCATCATCGAGTCCATCCTCACCTCCTCCGTCACCGTGTGGTTCGCTGGAGCCACAGTCAGGGACAAACAGACTACAGCGCATTGCGTGCTCTGCAGAGGAAGTGATTGGCCGCAGCCTCCCATCGCTGCAGGACCTGTACGTCGCCCGAGCTCAAATTAGTATCAATATATGACTACATTACACATCTCCATTCCATTTATCATGAAATAAAGGTTATTTTTTCACTCAAAATGTTTCTGACCAATATATTGATAATCGTCATATCGTGATATATTCGTTATCGTGATATAATCGTTATCGTGATATAATCGTTATCGTGATATAATCGTTATCGTGAGCTTCGTATCGTGAGGTACCCCGAGGTTCCCAACCCAACTGCACATGGTCTATGTGCAGTTGGGTCCTCCCGCCACAAGAACAGTTTCTTCCCCTCTGCTGTTGGACTCTTGAACACTTCTTAACCTGTCCCCCCCGCCTTTTAAAAGTCCCCTTACTGCCTTTTATAACGCCACTTTACTGCCCATCATTTGTCACTTTACAGCTGTCACCGTATATTGTATGCACCATGAGCACTGTATATTGTATATAGTAATTATAATATTCTATTTTAAATACATTCCTTAGAAGTGCTTTTAATTTTATTTTTGTTTTTTATTATGCCTTCTCTACCCTTTACCTCTCTCTCTGACTGTTGCACTGAGCCAAAGCAACTTCCAAGTCTGACTTATGTGGCAATAAAAATGATTATTATTCTGATTCTGACAAACACTTTACTTACTTACTAACTTATGCAACAGGGATGTGTGACCCATCTATTGCTTTGTAAATCTGTGGCAGGCCCTGCTCTGTGTGATTACGCATGGCTATTTGTTTTGCCTCATTCACATCTAGCAAAGCAATGTATTTTTTCATTAGTTTTAAGCATAAAGCACCGATGGTCTTGCTCACTCAAAACTGTCTCAGCAACTGCCTTGTACTCCGCATGTAGCAGTTTTCTGTGGGACGGGCTCACGGGCAGTGGGTGACACGAGAGGTCACACCGCATAACTCCTCAAATGGTGTGCGCGTCATTCAGACGTTTTGGATCCAGAGTTCCTCTGTGAAATTACAGACACTTCCCAAAACCTTTTCATACGCATGCTTTCTCTCACAGAGATTGCTACATTGCATTCACAAGAAGAAGCTGCAGACGCTTCACCCGGTTAATGATGAGAGCCACCGCTGAGGACGAGATGTCAATATACAGGTCCTTCTAAAAAAATTAGCATATTGTGATAAAGTTCATTATTTTCTGTAATGTACTGATAAACATTAGACTTTCATATATTTTAGATTCATTACACACAGCTGAAGTAGTTCAAGCCTTTATTGTTTTAATATTGATGAATTTTGGCAAAAAAAGTAAAGAAACACCAAAAATCCCCATCTTAGAAAATTAGCATATCATGAAAAGGTACTCTAAACGAGCCATTAACCTAATCATCTGAACCAACAAATTAACTCTAAACGCTTGCAGAAGATTCCTGAGGCTTTTGAAAACTCCCGGCCTGGTTCATTACTCAAAACTGCAATCATGGGTAAGACTACCTGACTGCTGTCCAGAATGTTATCATTGACACCCTCAAGCAAGAGGGTAAGACACAGAAAGACATTTCTGAGCAAATAGGCTGTTCCCAGAGTGCTGTATCAAGGCACCTCAGTGGGAAGTCTGTGGGAAGGAAAAAGTGTGGCAGAAAACGCTGCACAATCCCAAGAGGTGACTGGACTTTGAGGAGGATGGTGGAGAAGGGCCGATTCCAGACCTTTGGGGACTTACGGAAGCAGTGGACTGAGTCTGGAGCAGAAACATCCACAGCCATCGTGCACAGGTGTGTGCAGGAAATGGGCTACAGAAACCACAACCAGAAACCACAACCAGAAACAGCGGCAGAAGCGCCTGACCTGGGCTATAGAGAAGCAGCACTGGACTGTTGCTCAATGGTCCAAAGTACTTTTGGAAGGAAGGAAATGCCAAAATGCCTGAAGTCCATTGTCAAGTACCTACAGTCAGTGATGGTCTGGGGTGTCATGTCAGCTGCTGGTGGTGGTCCACAGTTTTTTTTTTTTTATCAAGGGCAGGGTTAATACCGCTGGCTAACAGGAGATTTTGGAGCACTTCATGCTTTCATCTGCTGAAAAGCTTTATGGAGATGAAGAATTCCTCTTTCAGAACGACCTGGCACCTGCTCACAGCGCCAAAACCACTGGTAAATGGTTTACTGACCGTGGGATTACTGTACTCAATTGGCCTGCCAACTCTACGGACCTGAACCCAATAGAAAATCTGTGAGATATTGTGAAGAGGAAGTTGAGTCACCAGACTCAACATTGTGGATGAACTTTAGGCCACCGTTTTTACATACTGACAAATGTTCTAACCTTACCTTAGACTAGTTGATATATACCAGCCTGGTCTTTGTCCGTGCGCTCTGTCATGCAAACTGAGCACAAACGCAGCCTCTTCCACATACAGTATAGTTCCAAATCAGCTCCCGTTAGAAGATACCAAACTAGGGAACACGTGGAAGAGCTCACGCTGCTTCTATTGACGGAAGTGAGCGGGAGAGAAATCTTAGTGCGCGGACGTAGTGCTCCTCGTAGGGCTGGGCAATATGGCAAAAAAGTAAAATCTCGATTTTATTTCCTGCTTTGGACGATGTCGATTTTAAAATCGATTTTCATTAAAGTCACTCAAGACGGGCTTTGCCCTCAAAATATTTTTTATCTTCCCACTCAATATTCAAGTTTCAAAACTATTTTTTATTTGTTTCCCCCAATACATATTATAAAAGTCTTGTACAGACTGTGCTGACATTGCAAGTATAATTGATGTGCTGCTGGAACTCTCACAATATCCTTCATTCGATTTCACGATTTTCACATTTTTCACGAATTCGACTTTTTTCAAAAGCCGATTAATTGCCAAAATTTGATTTATTGCCCAGCCCTAGCTCTTCGTATCATTACGCCTCACAATATAGTACCCCTTTTTATCCGCTGAGAAAATCGACATGTTACATTTCTGTGTTACAATACTAGTGTAACACGTCACGTAACTGTATTTAAATAGGGAACACGTGGAAGAGTTTAGTAGCTTCTAACGGGAGCTGATTTGGCTCCCGTATGTATACAGTATGTGGAAGAGGCTGCGTTTGTGCTGCGTTTGCATGACAGAGCGCACGGACAAAGACCAGACAGGTACATATCAACTAGTCTAAGGTAAGGTTCTTACATATGCCACCCGGCACACATAGCACCAGCCCCCTACGATTCCTCCGGCAGATTGTGAGTCCTCAGGAGGATAGCCACTCTATTGTTTACATGTATAAAGTACACAATTTGGTCCGCTAGTGCAATTTTCATGTATTGTAACTATTTACTGGAATAAGGTGTGCGACTAATTTCACGTGACTCATGACCTTATTATTGCCCTCTGCCCACTGTACCAAAAGACCAGAAACTTTTTACTGTAGAAATATTGAGAAATATTGAGGTAAAAGTAGCCATTTGGGTCCAAAATACCTCCAAAATAGTCAAAACGTGTCACTTTTGATCTACTGTACTTTTTACTGTAAAAAGGTGTGCGACTAATTTCAACTGGATTCATGACCTCAAGATTGTCCTCTACCACTGTACCAAAGAACAGACACTTTTACTGTAGAAATATTGAGAAATATTGATTTAAAGTAGCCATTTTGGTCCAAAATAGCCTAAAAATTGGTCAAAACATGTCACATTTGATCTACTGTAACTTTTTACTGTAAAAAGGTGTGCGACATTAATTTCACTGGATTCACGACCTCATGATTGCCCTCTTACCACTGTACCAAAGACCAGAAACTTTTACTGTAGAAATATTGATTTAAAGCAGCCATTTGGTCCAAAATAGCCTAAAAAATTGTCAAAACATGTCACTTTTGATGCTGTGTAACTTATACTGTAAAAAGGTGTGCGATAATTCCACTGGGATTCATGACCTCAAGATTGTCCCTCTACCACTGTACCCCACTCCCCCCCCCCCTCCTCCTCCCCCCGCCGACCACCACACATTGCCTTAAAACCTGTGGGAAAACACTGTGTCAGTATGTAAAAACGGTGGCCTATTCCTTTAAGGCCACAATCGAAGCATCCTGGGGCTCCATAACACCTCAGCAGTGCTTGCAACGCCGTATTGAAGCATTAATTTCTACAAAAGGATTCCTGATCAAGTATTGAGTGCATAACTGAACATCATTATTTGAAGGTTGACATTTTTTGTATTAAAAACACTTTTATTGGCCGGATGAAATGTGCTAAATTTCTTAGATAGGGATTTTTGTTTTTTCTTTACTTTTTTACCAAAATCATCAATATTAAAAAAATAAAAGGCTACTTCACTACTTCAGCTGTGTGTAATGAATCTAAAATATACGAAAGTCTACTGTTTATCAGTACATTACAGAAAATAATGAAGTTTATCTCAATATGCTAATTTTTGCTAAGAAGGACCTGTATATTCATTCATTAATTCATTCATTCAATCATTTCTAAAGTTCAGGAGAGATGAGTGCTGGAGTGGGTCTAGACACTAGGAAAAAACGCAAAAGGCAATACCACTGTTTGAGCAAAACATCTGTTGAGAATGTAACTTGAAACAAGCGCTACATGAATGAATTGAAAGGTTCTTAGGTTGCTTCTTTTTTGGGTGTGTTTTTTCTGTTTCAAGTAGCTTTATGACACCCTCATAAGGTCTTTAGAATTTTAACAGTAAAAAACATTGACTAATTTGAAAAGTCCTTTTAAGTTTAATTTGAATGGTTACTTGCATTAGCGCACACACACAACACGGGACATGAGATACATTGGATGCCTCGGGTTTGCTGAATTACAGAAGATAACATTTAACCAGACCAGAAAAAAAGAAAGAAAGTGTGAAAATACATTACTTTGACCCCAAGTGTGTGAATCGAGCTTCAGTTCTGTACCTATAGAGCTGAGTGTTGCGTTGTCGTCTGCGTTTGCGTTTCTGGGCCGAACAGGAGATGGTTCCCTCGTACACGATCTCCACACTGGGACTGCGATCCTCACGGCCGCGACTAGAACAGACAAACTATTAAAACTACAAAGTATGGCATGTATGGAACACTATCAATAGCATCTGGCCATATTTGGCTGATTTGTAGATCTATGAATGGTTATTTCAATGAAGCAGTACAACTGGATAGGATTTTTATTGAATCTCACATTCCACATTCATTTAAAGTCATTACATCGTTCCCACATCAGAAACAGACCTGAGATTCAAAGTAGGAAGGTTCTGATAGTACTTTTTGCAAACCATTACTGATACATGGCCAATTAAAGCTCAATTCAAACCGTAGTATTTTATTAAAATCCCACAGCAAGGGACATGGTTTCACTTGGTTTCTACTACTAGTTTTCACATGCATTTATTTCATCGTAACGCACCCGTTCTCAGGTCAGAGAGTCAAAATTTTAATTTAAGACTACTAAGACTCCTTCTATTGGGACAACCAACATGCATTATTCCAGAAAAAAAGATCAAATTTAAATAGTAATCTTATTAATAATATTTGACAACATTGAAAATCTTGTTTTATATTGTGATACCTAAATGAAGTCGAACAATGAAAAAGCATGATTAATGCAATAAAAGTTGACAAGAAAGAGCCACACTCCCCCCACAGTTGTAAAGCGCAGAAAACGGCTCCGTCCAGACCCTGACTACATTAGTCAAAGGATACATCATCATTGCACAAGTTGATGGGGAGACATGATTGTGCCAGAAGATGTTAATTAAGCTAAAAACAACTCTTGGTTTATTCCAAGAACAAGTTAGGTAGATTTTATTGAACCCCGAATGATAAATTCAGGTGTCCAGAAGTAGCAGAAACACGTCCATCCATACAAACAAGTGCAACAGGACTTCAGGTCACAGCAGCAGAGGTAATGTAGCTGCTGGGTGGAGCAGGAAAGGTCACCGCGGTTTCCAGCGCATTCAAAAGTAAACACTTACCAACTTTATTTCTTTCACATATAACACATGTTGTTTGTAACATGTTTTGTACTTTTATTCTTACCTAAATAATTGTGTTTGATCCAACAGAAAGTATTAGAATGTGAACAAACAGGCTGTCTTAATCTTATTAGAGAACATTTTATCTAGTGCATATGAGAGTCACTGTTTGACCATTTGGGCTGTGAGCTGATTGGCTGAGGGATGGGTGGCCCTCTCTTTTAAATTTTTCTATCTGAAAAAGCGGATGTAAAAATGGCAAAAAACGCATGCATGTGAAAACTAGTGGTTAGACCAAACTGTTTCGAGAGCGAAGAACCCTCGAAAACATTTGATTGCCTAGTTAAATTGGTTGTGGCTTGAAAGTTGGGTATGCCAGCTTTAATAACTTAAAACAGCCATTCCCAAACTCAGTAACACCGAGGCCCCCTTAAAAATCTGACGGGTCTGCGTGGCCCCCCAAAATAATAACCAAGAAGACAACATTAAGAATAGGCTCTTCTGGTTATTTTATTTTGGGGAAATAGCCTCTGATACAAACATTGTAATACAAAAATGATTACAGTGGATTATTCAAGTCAAATAATGAACACAAATATTTTAATATTTCAAACAAAACATTATAAATTTAACATTAAATAATATATTATTTTTTTATTTTTTTTATGACCTCCCGCGGCCCCCCTGCAGTACCCTCGCGGCCCACCAGGGGGCCGCGGACCCCACTTTGGGAGACACTGACTTAAAAATCTGATTGTACTGACCTCTCCTCCCTCTCTCTCCTTCGCCTCTCCCTTCGCTTTCGCCTCCTCCGCTTCTCCCGCTCCTCTTTCCTGATACGCTCCATCTCTTTGGCTTTGCTCCTGCTGCTCCTCGCTTTCCCACTGCTCTGCTTCCACGCAGGATCTCCAGCGTGACTGTCAAGGTGGCGGCTCTTATATTTCCGTTTGCCTCCTGGCTTTTCCGCAACCGGTGCAGACTCCTCCTCTTCAACTTCCTGGAGTTTCTCTCGTGGAGTTGGCGGAGTTACAGAGACAGACGAGCCAAAACAGGACGAAGAAGTGGACTTGGGTGTTGAAGGACAGGAGGAATAAAGTGGAGAGATTAGAGAGTAACCGCGGAAGTCCGAATCGAAGCTGGAAGCGTGCGAGGGCGAACGGGAGCAGTGGCCGGTTGGGGTGGAGAGTGCGGAGGAGTTTTGGTTGCTGCCGCTGCGGATGCGTTTGTGCCGTCTGCGTTCGTGTTTCTTTCTCTTGGGTTTATCGTGGTCTTTGCTCAGAACACGCAACAGAGCTTCGGTCAGGCTCTGTCCCGGGTTGGAGAAGTCGGAGTGAGACCTTGAGGGCTGTGCATCTTCAACGATCTCTGCAGGGGACACAATTACACAAATAAGAAAATCAGTAAAAACTAAGTCTATAATTGACAATAATATTGACAATTTGGTAGCCTGTTTTTCTTCTAATCTAATAGTTGTTTAGACCCTGAAAGAATATGGAACTAAACAAAGTACTTGTTTTGTCTCGTAATGCCAGCCTCGTAGCCAGGCTGGCACCACCTTTCATTTCACTCCTGCTACGAGGTCTGGTATTGCAGAAACACAGGCAGCTTCGAGAACCAGGAAGTATACTAGGCCAATAAGTGGTTGTTTGTAGTGTGAGATGGCTGTAAACCAAAATATACATTCTGTGCTTGAAAATATCAAGTAGAACAAATAGGAAGTTTGTTCTAGCTTGAAGTTTGCATATGTTTAAATAAAAAAACATATGCACTTCTGTATATATATATTACTGTCTAGATTGTATTGTGCATGGATATTATATTTTCTCATGCCTTGAAAATGTTTTTGGGGGTTTTTGGCCTCTTTTTGATACTTTCCTCTTAAGAGGGCCACCCATCCTATGTAGCTCTCCGTCTGTGTCACCTGTATCATATATGTCTGAGGTTTGGCTGTACACAGTGTTTTATTGCACCAGTGTGGCTCTGTGGGTGTCTAGTTCCAAGGGGAGAGTCTGAGCGCCGTGAGCTGGAGAGAGAAGCAATGTGAGGCAGTATGAGCAATAAAGCTCAAAATGAGGTTTTGCACCGCAAAAAAAGCCAGGACTATCGCTAATACTATCGCTGGGACCGCACCAGGTGCCAGCGGCAATGTCCGGTTATCGTCACAGCCAGCGCTCACTGCACTAAACAAAATTACACTGTGTAGATGAATCAGAATCAGAATCATTTTTATTGCCACGTAAGTAACAGGAAGTCAGACTTGGAAATTGCTTTGGCTCAGTGCAACAGTCAGAGAGAGAAGTAAAGGGTAGAGATTTAATCCATGGATCTATTATAATATCAATGTAACCATACAAACACACACAAAAGTATCATATTGCACTTATACTATAGGTATATAGTATGTTCACTTTGGTTTATTGTCATTCATAGTGTTTATCGCTGTAATTGTGTTATTCTGTGACTTACTGTTATTGACATAAATATAGCTTCACCTAATGGATTCATACTGGCCATTCTTTCTGGCATAGTTTGTCATGGGCTCTGCTTCAAGCAACACTTTGTGGTTGTGGGTGTGTGTGCCCCAAAACATATTATTTTGCATCAAAAACAATTTCTCATAAGTTCTTTTTGCTGTTTTCTAGCATGTAAGATAATGGTCATGTATGAGGAGACGCTGAAGTTAAACTAAATAGTGTTAAAATCACTTTTCTACATGGTGGGTCTGTTTTCACAAACACCTAATTTTCTCAGCTTTTTGTCTAAGACTGGTGATTTCTGTCACGCTCCACTCTTTTCCACTGGGGATTATAGAAGAAATAAACAAGCTAGAAACAAAATTATTTTTGCGGCTGAGAGTAGACAGTCCAGTCTTTCAGAATCGGGTTTCATATTTCACATCATAGCACACAATATTCTGTGGGTCGTGAAAATCAGTGAAATCATTTAAAATGCCTGGCAGTACCTGGAGCTCTTCAGCAATTTGCCTGATGGAAGGTCTCAGGACCAAAACGTTACATTTTCCATCCATCCATCCATCCATTTTCTACCCTTTAATCCATTTCTGGGTCAGGGGGGTGGCAGTCAGAGATGCCACCCAAGTCTCATAGCACCAGCCCCTCACTGATCCTCTGCAGGTGGAGAGTCCACAGGAGGACGGCTGCTCTCTGAGTGTGAGCATAGCCTTGATCTTTCAGTGGGGGCTTTGGGCAAAGTGGGGTTAAGTGTCTTGCCCAAGGACACAACGACAGCAGTCATCAGTGGGAGAAGGTGCCAAGGTGGGAATTGAACCTACGACCTTCTGGCCTTAAGGCCAATGCTCTACCAACTGAGCCACTGTCGCCCTACACTTTTACATTTTCCGATAAAATATTTTTTTTGCAAGGACAGCAGTGTGCGGGAACCATTATTTTAATTCATGAGCACCGGGACTCTCTCTCTCTCTCTCCTATGCACTTGATCCAGTAATTGATGTATTTACAGTGCCTTGCTAAAGTATTCGGCCCCGTAGAACCTTTCAACATTTCGCCAAATTTCAGGCTTCAAACATAAAGATATAAAAATTTTATTTTTTGTCAAGAATCAACAACAAGTGGGACACAATCGTGAAGTGGAACGAAATTTATTGGATAATTTAAACTTTTTTAACAAATAAAAAACTGAAAAGTGGGGCGTGCAATATTATTCGGCCCCTTTACTTTCAGTGCAGCAAACTCAGTCCAGAAGTTCAGTGAGGATCTTTGAATGATCCAATGTTGTCCTAAATGACTGATGATGATAAATAGAATGCACCTGTGTGTAATCAAGTCTCCGTATAAATGCACCTGCTCTTTGATAGTCTCAGGGTTCTGCTTAAAGCGCAGAGAGAACCATGAAGACAAAGGAACACACCAGGCAGGTCCGAGATACTGTTGTGGAGAAGTTTAAAGCCGGATTTGGATACAAAAAGACTTCCCACGCTTTAAAAATCTCAAGGAGCACTGTGCAAGCAATTATATTGAAATGGAAGGAATATCAGACCACTGCAAATCTACCAAGACCCGGCCGTGCCCCCAAACTTTCATCTGAAACAAGGAGAAAACTGATCAGAGATGCAGCCAAGAGGCCCATGATCACTCTGGATGAACTGCAGATAACTACAGCTGAGGTGGGAGAGTCTGTCCATAGGACAACAATCAGTCGTGCACTGCACAAATCTGGCCTTTATGGAAGAGTGGCAAGAAGAAAGCCATTTCTCAAAGATATCCATAAAAAGTCTTGTTTAAAGTTTGCCACAAGCCACCTGGGAGACACACCAAACATGTGGAAGAAGGTGCTCTGGTCAGATGAAACCAAAATCGAACTTTTTGGCCACAATCCAAAACGATATGTTTGGCGTAAAAGCAACACAGCTCATCACCCTGAACACACCATCCCCACTGTCAAACATGTTTGTGGCAGCATCATGGTTTGGGCCTGCTTTTCTTCAGCAGGGACAGGGAAGATGGCTAAAATTGATGGGAAGATGGATGGAGCCAAATACTGGACCATTCTGGAAGAAAACCTGTTGGAGTCTGCAAAAGACCTGAGACTGGGATGGAGATTTATCTTCCAACAGGACAATGATCCAAAACATAAAGCCAAATCTACAATGGAATGGTTCACAAATAGACGTATCCAGGTGTTAGAATGGCCAAGTCAAAGTCCAGACCTGAATCCAATCGAGAATTTGTGGAAAGAGCTGAAGACTGCTGTTCACAAACGCTCTCCATCCAACCTCACTGAGCTCGAGCTGTTTTGCAAGGAAGAATGGGAAAGAATTCCAGTCTCTCGATGTGCAAAACTGATAGTGACATACCCCAAGCAACTTGCAGCTGTAATAGCAGCAAAAGGTGACGCTACAAAGTATTAGCGCAGGGGGCCGAATAATATTGCATGCCCCACTTTTCAGTTTTTTATTTGTTAAAAAAGTTTAAATTATTCAATAAATTTTGTTCCACTTCACGATTGTGTCCCACTTGTTGTTGATTCTTGACAAAAAATTAAATTTTTATATCTTTATGTTTGAAGCCTGAAATGTGGTGAAATGTTGAAAGGTTCAAGGGGGCCGAATACTTTCGCAAGGCACTGTAAATACATCAAAGCAAAAAGGAACCCGCCCACTTTGGAGCAAACCATTTTTTGAACGCAGCTAATGACTTGTTACACATGGTCTGAACAAAGTGTTGAAATTTGTAACAAATAAAAACATTTTAAAAAAGGATCAGTGAGGGGCTGGTGCTAAGTGTACTGGGTGCAGCTCTGACTGCCACCCCCCCGACCCAGAAATGGATTAAGGGGAAGAAAATGGATGGATGGAAACAAAAATAGTTGCAGACTATGGAAAATCTTGATTAATAGCGATTATTCTACCACTTCATTATCTAGTTGATAAAAAGAGTAAGTCTTCAGTAGAGCTGGGCATCTTTCCGAGCTGCCGATACAATACGAATCATTTGCTTTTGAATCCACTGGAAAAGGCAGCAAGTCCTTAGTAGCTCTGAAAAAGTTGTTGTTTTGTGCTCTACAATTGTTTTTTTCTACCCGAGGTATTGCTGCAGTACAGTGTAAATGGTTTTGCAGTAGTCCAGACCATAGCGCAGAGGATTCACAGACCAAACCAAGCGGATCAGGCAAAAGACCAATGGAGGAATGCTAACTTTAAAAAAAATGCTAATAAAGTATTCAGCATTTTACTTTGTACTAGAGCAGAGAAAATTGCCCGAACCAAGCGGAAACTCCATCTCTGCTGCTGTGACCTAAAGTGCTGTTACATTTTAATAGTATTGTTAGCTACTTTTAGAATTATCTATTCATTTGTTTTGTTTGGATGGATGAATGTGTTTCTGCTACTACTGGACACCTGAATTTCTCCTACTGTGGATCTATCTATCAAGTAGACATTTTTACTTTGTGCATTTCATAAACCAAGGTCATGCCCAGAGTTTATTCAACTACAGCCCTCCATAAAAAGTGTAAGACAGAGCAGCTCTCACCTTCTCTGCACTGCGGTGACGGTGTGAGCCCTAAACACAACGTCTCTGATGGATTCTCTGTTGCCTTTTCTTTTTCCTTCTCTTCTTCTTTACATTTATCTTCAGTGCTTTTCTCCTCCCTCTCCTCTGCTCCTCCCTCCTTCTTCTCCTCCTCAGAGTCCGAAGATAGCTGTACGAGCTCCGGTGTGCGCTCTGCAATGGGCTTCTTGTAGCCCACAATCAGACACTCCTCCTCCGCCTCTTGCTGTCCCCGTGGTGACGCAGGGGTGCGAAGGAGGACCTTCTCTCGTCGCTCATGATTAGTGGAGTCATGAGGGGCGGGGCTAAAGGAGGACAGGTAACAAGAGGAGTCTGCAGTAGAGTAGGAGGGGCCTGGCGTCTCATCATCCCAACCTGAAACCAAATCAGATGTTCCACATTACATTGAGAACTGGAGGATTATTCTAAGACTAAAAGTGTGCTGTTGAAAGTTAAGTGCCCCAGCTTTAAGTGAAGTCTAGACAGTTTAGATTTTCATATTTAAAAGTAAAAGCAAAGGAAGGATATGTAAAAGTAGTTTTAATTTGTTTCTATACAACTATAGTGCTTCCTAAGATAATATTTTAGGCTCATACATTTCTTCCTTTTGATCTCCAAATACGTACTGCGACTTATCGTTTTAGCGCTGTCATGATTTTTGTACAAAAACTCTTTATTCCCACCGACACAGAAATGTTCCAACTCCAGGACTAATAAAACATCTTAATCATCATTTCAGGCAGACATTTTGGCATAAATGATAAAGAAACATAACAAGTCAAGAAGAGCAGCCAAAGAGCCGAGTGTCAAACTGGTATTTTTTGATTAACAGTGCTTTTTTTCTTAAAAAGTAAAATGTAATAAGAAATCAGACCACAACATGCTGTCTTGATATTATTATTATCATCATGTAATCGTTCACATACATACGGAAGTCGTTCTTTGATGCATTCAAAGCTGATCTTTTTTTTTTACATTTCTGTCTGAAAAAAGCTGATCTAAAGATGTTACTGAGGCCAATAATTCATGCATGTGAGAACTATAGAACAAAACGGTTTTAGTCAGGTCGATTTGATCACATTTGGAAATTAGATAGCCCAGCTTTAAAACCAACTTTAAGATAAGATGTGCTTTATTTATCTCACAAAGGAGAAATTTACATGTCACATTTGGCATGGATAGAGACACTCAGATTGTGCAAAAGGAGGAAATGTGCAAACATGTTACATGCAGGATATATGTACAATAAAAGTGACAATAATTATGTGCAACAAAAGTGACAAGTGTCAATTGGAAACAGTGTCAATAGTAGTGCAGGTTTTCACACAGTGATCATTTAAAGTGACTTATTGTACAGTCTGACAGTGGTGGGGATAAAGGCCCTGCGGTAGCGCTCCTTCCTACACTGAGGGTGTCTCAGTCTTCCACTGAAGGAGCTCCTCAGCTCCTCTACAGTCCTGTGCAGTGGGTGGGAGGTATTGTTCATGATGGAGGTGGCTTTGGCTAGCACCCTCCTGTCCCTCACCTCCTCCACAGAGTCCAGGGAGCAGCCCAGAGTGGAGCTGGCCCTCCTGACCAGCTTGTTCAGTCTGTTTCTGTCCCGCTCTGTGCTGCCCGGGGCCCAGCACACGGCAGCGTAGTAAATGGCAGAAGCTACCACAGAGTCCTAAAAAGTCCTGAGCAGAGGCCTGCTCACTCCGAAAGACCTCAGCCTCCTCAGAAGGAAGAGGCGACTTTGGCCCTTCTTGTGCAGGGCGTTTGTATTATGGGACCAGTCCAGTTTATTGTTAATGTGAACACCCAGGTACTTGAAGCTGTCCACCAGCTCAATGTCCTCCCCCTGGATGTTCAGCAGCGTGTGGGAAAGTGGTTTGAGTAGATGCTGCATATTAGTAGGGTTATAGATGACCAAAGAATATTTTTAAAACTTGCAGCAGGCTAAGACAAAGAAGTACATGAGGACATTCATTGCTCAAGATGGAACAGGCACTTGTCGTTTTCACAGGTCATGCACTAAGCTCCTCAACATGCATGTAAGAAGAGTGCATGAGACATAGCAGTGCACACACAAGCGAGAACCATTGCATTAAACTGCACTGTGTCAAAGCACAATTCTCCCTGACAGTGGGATGTTAAAGCTGGGGTACCCACATTTTTCACACACACTTAGAAAGGCAAACGCCTTAATTGTTTTGATTTGAGAAATACAGGAGCAAATATGTAGTTCCTGGGCACGTACATTAAATTTGATATTTCTGCTTTATTTTTGTGCTCATTAAATTGATCTTTGGATTAGATATGCTAATTTTGCAAAGTAAAACCATTGTTGTGATATGAAACACATTCCCCTGACCGAGTTTCAACAGCAAATTTAAGAAGTGATTTTCAGAAGTGAATTTCTGACTTGATCAGCATTCAGTCCTGTTTTTCAAGCGGGAAGCCATAACTTTCAGATCTCGCATAAGCAATAAGCCAAGAAAGTCATTATTTGACCCTTTGGGTAGAAAGCTGATTGGCTGAGTCAGGGTGATCCTCTCTTTCATAAGTTATAGTCATAAGTCGATTCACATACCAGTCATGCTGAGGCTGGTCTGGATCTCTTGCCCCGGCTCAATACACTCCGCCCTCACGCGATCCTCTTCTTCCTCGGAGATGGCTATGACTGCGCTGCTGTCTGTCGAACTGTCCAGCGCATCCACATTAAAAGCCACATCCGGTGGCTCGTACACTGCTTGCAGGTCGTAGTTTTCCATTGTGAGGGGGGAGCGAGCATAACTGACCAGCTCGTGCAAAAAGTGATCTGTGCGAGCCAACAGAAACGGCCGCAGCTCATCTTCAACTACAGGCAAGTCCTCCAGCCCGTGCCGAGCTATCCGCGCCATTATAATTCGCTGGACGATTGTTATGAGCGAATCATGCGAGCCGTAGAGCACCGCAAGCTCCCGCCGGATCCAGGGACGCAGCCGGTTTAGATTTGATGGGTTGTGGCAGAAGCTTTCAACCGATATCTCTCGCTGCGGCTGATCCTGGCTGCCCCCTGCGACGCCACGTACACGAATCCCACACCGGTAAAGCCCACGACGCAAACCTATCATCTCTCGGTCTCGCAACGCCCGCAGTCTCCCACCTTCCCTCTGCAGTTGCCTCCTTGCAGACAGCCTGTACAGCAGCTTGCGCGTCTCTCTGTTGTTGGCGACAAACGGGGGCAAATTCCCGGCAGACCCGAGCCCCGTGAGCCCTTCAAAAATAATCCCCCGCTCGGCTAAATCAAACGGTTGAGTTTCAACTGGAGATATGGGCACAAACTCTGGGCTGTCTGGAGGCGAATCCACGAGCCACTCCCACACTGGGACCATGCGCTGATTCCGCCGCTGCCTGTTTGACCCGCTTCGGCGCAGCGTCAGCCTCATGCGGTGGTCGCTCGCCATTGCAGCGACCATAGCAACGGTCGCAGCCACACTTCCGTTCTCGGGTGAACGACGCAACGTGTACTTTTTGAAGTCATTCTCGCCGCGCACAGAGTGGAGGATGGAGGCAAATGGCTGCTTGCAGAGTGGGCACTCAGCCTTGTTATGCGACCACTCCTGGATGCACATGAAGCAGAAACGGTGCAGGCAGCGGTCCAGATATGCTAGGTTGTTGAAGCGGTCGAGGCAGATAGGGCATTTCGAGTCTGGTGAGGCATCTTCGGCTGACACTACTTGGCGAGATGTGGCAGAGGACGAGGATGAGGGTAGTGGCGAGGGAGTGACTTTAGCGTCCGAGGTGGAGGTGTTAGTTGAAGCGACCGTAGCACTGTTATTGGCGTTTCTGCTCCTCTTCCTGTTGTTGGCGGCAGTGGTTTTTCGGCGTGCTCGGCTGCGGGTGGTCTTGATACGGCGTTCGTGTCGTTCTTGCTCTTCTTCTTCATCGCTCTGAAGCTGAGCATTTTCCAATAGTTTGTTGTCTTGGCGACGCACACGCAGTTTCATACGTGAGGGTGCCATCACCTGAAAGAACAAGATATCAAAAATACTTTTTGTTATAGATACTAATCCTTCTATAAGTTCTCAAGAAATCTAAAATTTGATCATTAGATTAATTTTCAACATTTGCACAAATGAGTATTGAGTAAAATCTGCTGTTCAATTACCTTTGACAAACATACATTTTGATGAGGCAGGATTGACATAGAATTCAGCTATCCCAATGCATTTCTCTTGCCATTCAATTTATCTTGTGTTTAGCTCTGTATAAATGGACACAATGTTTAACAATTTGGAGAGGACTCTTTCCCATCCACAATCATATATTCAACATGCCACCATCCCCTGATAATCGCTGAATCCGCATTTCTCGGACTTCACATTATCCCTCAAAACCTATTATACAGCAATAGCCAACAATACACGTTATGACATAAAGCCTTGACATTATTACACACTGCGTTAGGCCTTATTATGACTACGATCTGGCGCAGTAGTGCAGTGATTATAGGTCCCTTTAACGCTTAACAGGTCATCACGTATCAGTTACTGGCATTTAGTGATACAATGTGGTTACATTGTAAGTATTATCGAAGATAAGCAATTACACGAAGAAGCTAGCCGCTGCTAGCACTTTTGTTCAATCTGTCATCTCTCAATTGTTTCAAATCATATAGATCCGACTACGTATATGCCATAATGCTTCTATGAGCTCTCGCTATGCGTTAATTATAACGCTAGATGACAAATGGATGGCATAAAATCTGGTTATTTGTAAGTACTAGCCATGTTATTAGCATATTAGCCCCCTTACCTGATCCGAAGCAGCAGACTCCCTCGGTGACTTCCAAAGCTTTTCATCCGGGTTTTGTGCAACGTTTTCGATCTGATCTGGTCAGTTCGAACAGATGGACGATATGACAATCGATCCTCACTTTTTTAGCACGTCTAGAGTGGTAATTCGATTTTTGTACCTTTATTTTTTACACCAACGTAAAGATCGGCGACTACTGCTGCACATTTCCGCTGGAGTGCAAAGGACGCTGGGTGGAGGCGAAGATCGTTAGTAGCTACAATTATGATGCTTCGCTCGGATTCCATGATCTCAATTTATTTTAGTTACTGTGTTTTATTAAAATGTTTTTGTATTTTCTTTTTTAGATGATTTTATGATACTTTAAATCTAAAACATAGAGAATAACATATGCATAGGTATAAATTAAATAAATATTATCGATATGGAGTGAGACATCTTTAAGACAATACACACATGCTGTTTTGGGATCCATGTATCTCGTCTTGCACTGACGGACGCTAAGAAAATCGAGAAATTACTCAAATAAAACAGCATTTTAAAGTTTTTATTGCAATAAAGGGAATAATGTTGTGTGTTGGTCGTCGGGACTTGGATAGAATCTACTCTGTGGTAAATTAAACGGGTTTTTTTTTTGTAGAAAAATAAAAACTCGCGTGATTGCATTAGCTTAAGCCTTTAGCCGTGTTCACGAGAGTAACTAAAGAAAAATAGTGTGTACAAACTATGAAGTGGCCATAAATGTCCATTGTGACACGGGGCTTGTGTAAAAAGTGCATTTAAGTAATAACTGATTAAATAGATTTTAAAACGAGTTAAATGCATCTATTAAATGGGATTTAAGGGGAGCCCCCCTCCCCTTAAATCCCATTTAATAGATGCATTCATTCCCTTTACTGATATGGGTTAATTTTGTCCTAAGGCGTGTTCTGCCTATTGTGCCTAATGCAAATGGTGAATAAACTAAATCTGATCATAACAATATCGATAGATATTGAGAGTATTGCATTAAGAGAATCAAGATCAATATTTAAATAGGTTTCGGATTTGAAACAGCTAGATTTGTGCATCACTACTACTACTGTTACTATAATAGATCCATGATCACTACCTAAAAAGGAAAGGAAAATAATGTTACAAGGAAAATACGTCACATCCGGTCTTCTTTATCAAAGTATTTTTTTTGTCTTTTATTATTTTTACCTTTACACTCGAGATCCTAAAATATGTATTAAATATATATTTTCACATTATTGAATGTCAGTTACTTTTCAAAGAGAGAATGTCATTTTTGAAGATGTGGAGCTGGTTAGGCAGCGCCGTGATTGGTCTAAATTAATTAGGGCTCTTGTTATTGTTTTAAACATTCTACTTCAGTAAATTTGAATGGTATTAGTTCTGTCAAGGGGAGGAAATATTTTAAATATAATATTGTTGGACAAATAGTACTGTAATTAAAATGACTACATTCATGACCAATTAATGGTCATTAATAAGTAAATAAATGACTACATTTTGCTGGCATCACCTTACCCTCAATTTATCCTCTCAGCCATATTGTCTTCACTATTGTCACTTATAGATGTAAACTGTGGAGTTCATGTTTTGTCAGATTTTGTTGGGGATCGTGGTTTTGTCTTGGGGATACGTGATCTACGCCGGCCGAGTGGCAGCGCAGTGGCTCCTGGAGGAAAGAGCTGCAAAAGCCTGAAAATAACTCTTCAAGTGAGCAAATGGTGTCACACAGTTCATGTAAAGAACAATACCATACATTACGATAACAGATAAACACCCATGGACGTAGCGTGAATCATCCATCATTAAAAATGATTCTACTATCCTGTAAAGCCCTTGGAGTCAAATTGTTTGAGTTGTGCTTCATGAGCAGATTTTAATTTGAAAAGTATGTTTTAAATAAACCCATAGAGACAGGTTCAATTCTGTGCACCGAATAGTAGTTGAGGTTTTGTGGTCTGTGTAAAAGAAAGAAAAAATCTTTCAATGGAGTAGAAGTTTTTGCACTATGAATTATATCTCGTTGAAGCAGAAGTATGACCGTTGTAGAAGTGGCATGAATGATTGTTATATAAAGTCAATGTAAGCTAAATTAGTTCAATTGGCCCTCACCCGCCTCGTGCACTGAGGTTCGAGGGCCAGCTCCAGCTTATGGTGCCAAAGGCGAGACTGAAAAACCCGGGGGGACAGGGCCTTTTCTATGGCAGGACCAAAGCTGTGGAACTCTCTGCCCCCCCCCCATGTCAAAACAGCTCCCTGATTTGAATGTTTTATGTCTCGTCTTAAGACCCACTTTTACTCTCTGGCTTTTAACACTGCGTGAGTTGTGTGGTCCTCTATTTCATTGTTTAATGTATGTTTATTTATGTACTCCCCCCTGGACTGCCACCTTAACGTGGTGGGGGAGTTTGAGTACTCGGATGATCCTGGGAGCTATGCTGTCTGGGGCTTCATGCCCCTGGTAGGGTCTCCCATGGCAGACAGGTCTCAGGTGACGAGTCAGACGAAGAGCAGTCAGAAGCCAACATGGACAGCACGAAAAGAAGAACCGTGACGTCGCCCGGCATGGCGCAGCCGGGGCCCCACCCTGGAGCCAGGCCTGGGGTCGGGGCTCGAATGCGAGCGCCTGGTGGCCGGGCCTTAGCCCACGGGGCCCGGCCGGGCTCAGCCCGAAAGGACGACGTGGGCAGTCCCTCCTGTGGGCCCACCACCCGCAGAGGGGTCCGTGGCGGCTCGGTGAGAGAGGACTGGGCAGCAGTCGAAGGCGGAGACCTCGGCGACCCAGTCCGCACACCCAACATCTGGCTCTTGGGACGTGGAACGTCACCTCACTGGGGGGGAAGGAGCCCGAGCTTGTGGGGGAGGTCGAGAGGTACCGACTAGAGATAGTCGGCCTCACCTCCACACACAGCTTGGGCTCTGGAACCCAACTCCTTGAGAGGGGTTGGACGCTCCACTTTTCTGGTGTTTCTCGCGGGGAAAGGCGGCGAGCTGGGGTGGCCATACTCATTGCCCCCCATCTCAGCCGCCACGTGTTGGAGTTCTCCCCGGTGAATGAGAGGGTCGCGTCCCTCCGCCTTCGGGTGGGGGACAAGTCTCTCACTGTTGTGACGGCCTACGGGCCTAACAGCAGTGCAGAGTACTCGGCCTTCTTGGAGTCCTTGGGAGGGGTACTGGACGGTGCACCGCCCGGGGACTCCGTCATTCTCCTGGGGGACTTTAACGCCCATGTGGGAAGCGCCAGTGACACTTGGAGAGGGGTGATCGGGAAGAATGGCCCCCCTGATCTGAACCCGAGTGGTGTTCAGTTGTTGGACTTCTGTGCTAGTCACGGTTTGTCCATCACGAACACCATGTTTGAGCACAAGGGTGTCCACCAGTGCACGTGGCACCAGGACACCCTAGGCCGGAGGTCGATGATCGACTTTGTTGTCGTATCATCTGACCTTCGGCCGCGTGTTTCGGACACTCGGGTAAAGAGAGGGGCGGAGCTGTCAACCGATCACCACCTGGTCGTGAGTTGGATCCGCTGGCAGGGGAAGAAGCCGGTCAGACCTGGCAGACCCAAGCGTGTAGTGAGGGTCTGCTGGGAACGTCTCGCTGAGACCCCTGTCAGACGGACTTTCAACTCACACCTCCGGGAGAGCTTCTCCCAGGTCCCGGCGGAGGAGGGGGATATTGAGTCTGAGTGGACCATGTTCTCTTCCTCTATCGCCGATGCGGCGGCTCGTAGCTGTGGTCGCAAGGTCTCTGGTGCTGGTCCCGGCGGCAACCCCCGAACCCGGTGGTGGACACCGGCAGTAAGGGATGCCGTCAGGCTGAAGAAAGAGTCCTATCGAGCCATGATGGTTCGGGGGACTCCTGAGGCAGCTGTCCAGTACCGGCAGGCCAAGCGTGCCGCGGCCCGGGCTGTTGCAGAGGCAAAAACCCGGGACTGGGAGGAATTCGGAGAGTCCATGGAGCATGACTATCGGTCGGCCTCGAAGAGATTCTGGCAAACTGTCCGGCGCCTCAGGAGGGGGAAGCAGTTCTTTGCCAACACCGTGTACGGTGCGGGGGGTGAGCTGCTGACCTCGACCGGGGATATTGTCGGACGGTGGAAGGAATACTTTGAGGTTCTCCTCAATCCCCCCGTCACGTCCTCCGCTCCGGAGGCAGAGGCTGAGGATGTTGGGGCGGATACTTCTGTCACCCTGGCAGAGGTCACCAAGGTGGTTGGCAGCCTCCTTGGTGGCAAGGCGCCGGGAGTGGATGAGATCCGTCCTGACTATCTAAAGTCTCTGGATGTTGTAGGACTGTCTTGGCTGACACGTCTCTGCAACATCGCGTGGCGATCGGGGGCGATGCCAATGGAGTGGCAGACCGGGGTGGTGGTCCCTCTCTACAAGAAGGGGGACCGGAGGGTGTGTTCCAATTATCGTGGGATCACACTCCTCAGCCTCCCTGGTAAGGTTTACTCCAAGGTACTGGAGAGGAGGTTACGGCCGATGGTCGAATCTCGGATTCAGGAGGAGCAGTGTGGTTTTTCGTCCCGGCCGTGGAACACTGGACCAGCTCTACACTCTCCATCGGATACTCGAGGGTTCATGGGAGTTCGCCCAATCTGTCCACATGTGCTTTGTGGATTTGGAGAAGGCGTTCGACCGTGTTCCCCGGGGTGTCCTTTGGGGGGTCCTCCGTGAGTACGGGGTCCGGGGTCCTCTGCTGAGGGCCGTCCGGTCCCTGTATGACCGGAGCCAGAGCTGTGTTCGCATTGCCGGCAGTAAGTCAGACCTGTTCCCGGTGCATGTTGGCCTCCGCCAGGGCTGCCCTTTGTCACCGATTCTGTTCACTGTATTCATGGACAGAATTTCTAGGCGCAGCCAAGGGTCGGAGGGGGTCCGGTTCGGGGACCACAGGGTTTCATCTCTGCTGTTTGCAGACGATGTTGTCCTGTTGGCTCCAACGAACCAGGACCTACAACATGCACTGGGACGGTTTGCAGCCGAGTGTGAAGCGGCTGGGATGAGAATCAGCACCTCCAAATCTGAGGCCATGGTGCTCGACCGGAAAAAGGTGCCTTGCCCTCTCCGGGTGGGAGGAGAGGCCCTTCCTCAAGTGGAGGAGTTCAAGTATCTCGGGGTCTTGTTCACGAGTGAGGGAAGGATGGAGCGTGAGATTGACAGGCGGATCGGTGCAGCGTGCGCAGTGATGCGGTCGCTGTATCGGACCGTTGTGGTAAAGAGGGAGCTGAGCCGAAAGGCAAAGCTCTCAATTTACCGGTCAATCTTCGTCCCCTCCCTCACCTATGGTCATGAGCTTTGGGTAATGACCGAAAGAACAAGATCGCGGATACAAGCGGTCGAAATGAGCTTCCTCCGCAGAGTGGCTGGGCGCTCCCTTAGAGATAGGGTGAGGAGCTCAGTCACACGGGAGGAGCTCGGAGTAGAACCGCTGCTACTCCATGTCGAGAGGAACCAGTTGAGGTGGCTCGGGCATCTGTTCCGGATGCCTCCTGGACGCCTCCCTGGGGAGGTGTTCCGGGCATGTCCCACCGGGAGGAGGCCCCGGGGAAGACCTAGGACACGCTGGAGGGACTATGTCTCTCAGCTGGCCTGGGAACGCCTTGGAGTCCCCCCGGACGAGCTGGAGGAGGTTTGTGTGGATAGGGAAGTCTGGGCGTCTCTGCTTAGACTGCTGCCCCCGCGACCCGGCAACGGATGAAGCGGAAGAAAATGGATGGATGGATGGATGGATGGAATAATGTTGTGTGTTGGTCGTCGGGACTTGGATAGAATCTACTCTGTGGTAAATTAAACGGGTTTTTTTTTGTAGAAAAATAAAAACTCGCGTGATTGCATTAGCTTAAGCCTTTAGCCGTGTTCACGAGAGTAAATAAAGAAAAATAGTGTGTACAAACTATGAAGTGGCCATAAATGTCCATTGTGACACGGGGCTTGTGTAAAAAGTGCATTTAAGTAATAACTGATTAAATAGATTTTAAAACGAGTTAAATGCATCTATTAAATGGGATTTAAGGGGGGGGGGGGGGGGGGGGGGGGGGCATTCATTCCCTTTACTGATATGGGTTAATTTTGTCCTAAGGCGTGTTCTGCCTATTGTGCCTAATGCAAATGGTGAATAAACTAAATCTGATCATAACAATATCGATAGATATTGAGAGTATTGCATTAAGAGAATCAAGATCAATATTTAAATAGGTTTTGGATTTGAAACAGATAGATTTGTGCATCACTACTACTACTGTTACTATAATAGATCCATGATCACTACCTAAAAAGGAAAGGAAAATAATGTTACAAGGAAAATACGTCACATCCGGTCTTCTTTATCAAAGTATTTTTTTTGTCTTTTATTATTTTTACCTTTACACTCGAGATCCTAAAATATGTATTAAATATATATTTTCACATTATTGAATGTCAGTTACTTTTCAAAGAGAGAATGTCATTTTTGAAGATGTGGAGCTGGTTAGGCAGCGCCGTGATTGGTCTAAATTAATTAGGGCTCTTGTTATTGTTTTAAACATTCTACTTCAGTAAATTTGAATGGTATTAGTTCTGTCAAGGGGAGGAAATATTTTAAATATAATATTGTTGGACAAATAGTACTGTAATTAAAATGACTACATTCATGACCAATTAATGGTCATTAATAAGTAAATAAATGACTACATTTTGCTGGCATCACCTTACCCTCAATTTATCCTCTCAGCCATATTGTCTTCACTATTGTCACTTATAGATGTAAACTGTGGAGTTCATGTTTTGTCAGATTTTGTTGGGGATCGTGGTTTTGTCTTGGGGATACGTGATCTACGCCGGCCGAGTGGCAGCGCAGTGGCTCCTGGAGGAAAGAGCTGCAAAAGCCTGAAAATAACTCTTCAAGTGAGCAAATGGTGTCACACAGTTCATGTAAAGAACAATACCATACATTACGATAACAGATAAACACCCATGGACGTAGCGTGAATCATCCATCATTAAAAATTATTCTACTATCCTGTAAAGCCCTTGGAGTCAAATTGTTTGAGTTGTGCTTCATGAGCAGATTTTAATTTGAAAAGTATGTTTTAAATAAACCCATAGAGACAGGTTCAATTCTGTGCACCGAATAGTAGTTGAGGTTTTGTGGTCTGTGTAAAAGAAAGAAAAAATCTTTCAATGGAGTAGAAGTTTTTGCACTATGAATTATATCTCGTTGAAGCAGAAGTATGACCGTTGTAGAAGTGGCATGAGTGATTGTTATATAAAGTCATGTAAGCTAAATTAGTTCAATTGGCCCTCACCCGCCTCGTGCACTGAGGTTCGAGGGCCAGCTCCAGCTTATGGTGCCAAAGGCGAGACTGAAAAACCCGGGGGGACAGGGCCTTTTCTATGGCAGGACCAAAGCTGTGGAACTCTCTGCCCCCCCTCCATGTCAAAACAGCTCCCTGATTTGAATGTTTTATGTCTCGTCTTAAGACCCACTTTTACTCTCTGGCTTTTAACACTGCGTGAGTTGTGTGGTCCTCTATTTCATTGTTTAATGTATGTTTATTTATGTATATTGTTTTCATTTTATTCTAATTGCTTTTATTTATAGCTTGCAGACTTTACTTACTTACTTTTATCTGTGCAGCACTTCGAAAAAATGTTTTATAAAACGTGCTTTATAAATAAAAGGATTGGATTGGATTGAATGTGATTATATATGTTATGACAAATAATTAATGCAAATCCCATGTTTAAACTTTCCAATTTCAGAAACACAAACTACAAGCTAAGATTATTTCCAAATGGACAGAATGAAAAAGTTACTCAAGGAAAGAGACGCAAGACAAGACCAAAGTGGACATAATATACTGTATGTCAATATTTTATTTGTTAACTGTTTTGTATTTGAGATGTTCATAACATTTACATTATGTTGTCACAATGTGTTTTTCTGTTAATAAAATGTAAAACTACCTTGTTTGGTAAATTTACAGATACTTCATACAGAAACAAATTTGAATTATAAGTAGAATTAAGATAATTGAGCGGTGATAACAGGCTTCCCTCTGTACCTGACTCTAGACCTCACTCACCTTGCTTTCTCCCTTTCAAACCAGCGTCCTGTTCTCATTATACATTTACCCCTGTAATGTAAATGTCCATCCACCCATCCATTTTCTTCCCCTTTATCCATTTCTGGGTCGGGGGGGTGGCAGTCAGAGCACCAGCCCCCCACTGATCCTCCTGCAGGTGGTGAGTCCATAAGAGCCTTGATCTTCCAGTCTTGTGGTGGGCTCGAACCCACCACCTTCAGGCCTAAAGGCCAATGTTCTGACAACTGAGCCACTGTTTATTTATATACAATGTTAATGTATACGTAAATAAATGGGTCCAAGAGAAAGATATTGTATTTTGTGCAAACAATATAATATATTTTGAAAAGTCAGAAAGGCATGACACAGTCCAAGGCTTGGCTGGTCTTGTCTCCTACTTCATACACAGGAGTTCCCACTAGTGTAGTGAGTAGGAGGAGAGGGAAAGTGCAGAAAGTTGATTTTGCCCTCACACTACAGAGGGCCTTAGCGTGGAACAAGGAGCCTCTGATAAAATACAATAAAAAACACATTTCATGTTGTGATTGTTTTTTTGTTTTTTTGCAGTGACTTACAGAGTTTGGTTTTTGCTGTGAATTGTATTTATTTCTAAAAAGAAAAACTTCTATAAAATGTAAAACAAAAGACGTTTCTATTGAAATCACTTTACCACTATAAAGTGGTAACTCTATAACATTCAAAATCTAAAATGAAAAAGATAAAACAAGTCTTCAAACGGCAAATGCTTATTCTTTAGTATCTAACGCTAGATACCAAAGTGCTCTATCGTGGAGACAAAAAGTCAAGCCTTGAAAAATACTAGAAATATTTCAACGGCTGAAGCCATTGTGAATGACTGCATTCCATAAACAACCAAAATAAAGTGCTGCAACAGAATAAAAATATCAAAAACATTCAAAACATACAATTATTACGTCCCTATTACACCCTTATTGCACTATTACTTCCCTATTACATCACTAGTAACACTAGTTAACCCCTGTTACACCCTTATTACACACTTACACCCCTGTTACACCCTATGTTTTCAAAGAAGGCTGCACTTTCCAAGGCAGATGATCTGGCTCAAAAAGTTTATAACCTTACACTCTGTAAATAATAGACACTTGGCAACATAGCTGTGTGAATTACTACATCACTATTGCAGTCCTGCCCCAGAGAGAGGAGCTATTGTTTATGTTTCAGTTACATCAGTAAACTTGATGATGAACATGAGCAACAGCTGCAGCTTTTGTTATCTCAGCAGAAAGTGTCCGCCCAAATGAATATAGTAATAACAGATCTACTATTTGATATATGGTATATGATTCTGTTGAAAAAAGCTGCACAATTTTGATCCTGGAATAATTATCTGAAAGCTGAACATGAGACGCGACATCAGAGGGATCAAACAGAGTAGTGAAGAAATCACACGTGTCTTCTTTATTCTAATAAAACCCTTTGAGCTGAGGACTTTGACTACAAACACATCACATCTCGTATGTGTCTCAACAGCTGATGAACTCGTGTCAGAATCATCAGGAGACTGATCCGTTCTTAAAGTCATCTTAATGAGCTACTGCCCAGTGACATCACCTCGCAAACATGAAGCAGCAATTCTTATTCTGTACAAATGTGCATTAGCCACATCTTCTGCAGTCTTTGTGTTTTTCTCTGTACATGTTCTTTGTTAATATGATAAAACTGATCCTCTGGACATGCTTGTGTTTGCTAATCATGAAAGGCCTGTAAGATGTTGGACCCAAAGCCCACTCAAGGGCCCGATGCTGCAGGGAAGGCAGTTCCATTGGTGTCCACACTGGGGCAGTGTTAAACCATAATGGTCTTATGTTTCTTTGAACAAACTGACCGTAACATGAAGCTCATATTGAGAACAAGGATATTCGGCGTCACCGTAGCTGCTGTGAGTCAGTTTAACATGGCGAAATCACAGGACCCGTGGACATAGAAAGTGAAAAGTTCTAAATTTTTAGGTAATCGTCACATTTACATTTGTCAGTATTGGGCCCTTCTCCCTGACCCGTGTACTTCAATTCAATTCAATAGAACAGATTGTCGCGTGAACATGCTCAAAAGCAGCTTCTGGCTCAGCAGAAGTTTGCTAAGTTTTGTCTTGACTTTGAAAGATGCACTTTTCCAGTAAATATCAAAAGATCTGACTGAAGGGACATGTACAGGTGATAAGGGTCTGTGTCACTGTCTTAGTGGAGATAGATAGTTCAATTTGGAGAGACGAGAAACAAGAAGCTTTGAGTATTTTATTGGGAGGAGGTTTGGCGCCCTAGGCCCCGGTGCGGCCTTCGGATCGGAGGGCCTCCCTGCGAAGGAGCGAGCCAATCCCCCGGGACCTAGGCACTGGTGGCGGCATTTGCAGCGGGAAGCAGATTGAAGGCAGAATGAAGGCAGGGTGAAGAGGAGGAGGAGGGGAGGCGGTGGTTGCAGGCTTCGAGAAGGCCGAGAATGGGAGTTCCTCCGCTTTTAAGCAGCTTGCCTGGCTGGACCGGTGATTGGAAGGGGGCGTTTGCCGTGCGATAGGCTGGGGATGAGAACCGGCCTGGAGGGGTTACCTTTGTCTGACGTCTACCAAATTGAACTTTCGCTGGCTGCATTTCAATTTGGAGAGACGAGAAACAAGAAGCTTTGAGTATTTTATTGGGAGGAGGTTTGGCGCCCTAGGCCCCGGTGCGGCCTTCGGATCGGAGGGCCTCCATGCGAAGGAGCGAGCCAATCCCCAAAAAGGTTGTGAGTTGATGGAGTTTTGCAGCCTGGTTTGGAGGGGACAGCGTCGAGACTACTCTATGCTGTGACCGCTATCGCTATATACTGTGACCGCTATCGCTATATACTGTGACCGCTATCGCTATATACTGTGACCGCTATCGCTATATACTGTGACCGCTATCGCTATATACTGTGACCGCTATCGCTATATGCTGACGAGTCGCGACCATCGCGCGCTAACCATTTTTTGCTATATACTGTGACCGCTAACCATTTTTTGCTATATACTGTGACCGCTATCGCTATATGCTGTGACCGCTATCGCTATATACTGTGACCGCTATCGCTATATACTGTGACCGCTATCGCTATATACTGTGACCGCTATCGCTATATACTGTGACCGCTATCACTATATGCTGTGACCGCTATCTACTGTGACCAAACTTGCGGATCCTCAGCTGCTGCCGCCACCAGGAAGTTTAGCGAGCATTTTAAGAAGATGCCAAAAGCCGCTGGGCTGCCAGGATGGAAGAAGTGTCAGGCCTGATGTATGAGGAGAGGGCCGATGATGACCAGCGGCCCAGCTGCTGGAGGGCGGAATAGGGGAGCCCAAGGGACGCGGCGCGCGTGGCGGCGCCTATCCGAAAGGAGTGGGCTGTGTAGAGATGGGGAGACATGTTACAAAGCAGCAGTACGGACCTGAGTTGGGCTCTGAACCAGTTGGAGGACATAGGGAGGTTATCGGGGGTAAGAAATAACGGTCCGTTGAGATCTCCTTTCCGAGAGCGGAGGCGAGTGTACTGCATCATGGATCTATAGGGACAGGGAGAAGTGTCAGACCGGGCTATGACTATATTGCAAGCGCCTTTGCGTTTGGATGCTTGAGGTGGAGGTTGAAGTAGTCGGGATAATATGACAGGTCAGAGAGGCAATGTCTCGGGATGCATTTAAAGGTGGCGTGAGAGTTTGTGAATTCGCTTATGCGTAAGAAGCCCATTTTCATGTAGGATGCAGCGGAGGAGAGAAGGTGAAGAGACGGAGGGACTAGACCAGGGCGAGGGATTCCGTGCAGGAGATCTGGCATGGCGATGGATTGGCAGAAGGGCAGAGGCGTCAGAACTCCTGGAATTTAAAGCGAGAGAGAGAGTCAGCAAGACAGTTAGGTGACGAGGGACGTGACGAGCAGTGATGATAAAATGTTCAGGACTGAGAGCCATGTGATGCGTCTAAGGAGGGTGTGATTTGGGGAGAGGATGAACGACCTCTGTTAATTATTTCAATGACGTCGAGGTTGTCGCACGTCACGGAAATCCTTTCCTATGCCACGTATGGTTCCGCAGCACGCAGGCTACGGTCATGGGATATATCTCGTGGAGCGCGGAGGAGATGCTTCGAGGGAAAGCGTCGGGCCGGGGCCTGGCGAACCACTGGTCCTGGAAAACCCCCAAAACCCACGGACGGGGCTGCGTCCGTGAAGAACCGCGGGGCATCTGAGACAGGATGATGTCACTGTAAAAAAAAAGAGATACACCGTCCCGGCGGCTCTGCAGACGGGACCGGAACGCCAGGTCGGAGCGGCGCCCCGCGTCCGGGCAGACAGCATTGTTGAGGGAGGAGACGGAGCCGGCGAGGGAGAGGAGTCTGGAACAAAAGAACGACCTTGGGGAATGATACGGACGGCATAATGAAGATGCCCGAGGAGGGAGAGCAAGGACCCCTCGAAGTGACGGGAAGGCCAAGGCAGACCGGGAGAAACGCGGATGCGTTCGAGCTCGTCCAGCGGGAGGGAGGCCTCCATGGCGCGTGTGTCGAGGCGGATGCCGAGAAACTCCAGAGCGTTGGCGGGGCCTGTGGTCTTTCCGGAGTGGAGGAATCCGAGGGCAGAGAAGGCGGGCCTGAGCTTGCGGAGAGAGCCCCCGGAGCAGTCTGAGGGTGGGTTGACTACGAGGGAATTATCGGGGAAATGCAGACAGAGGG